ACCACCCAGCCAAATCTAACACGCCTATTTCGACTTAGCCGCCGTAGGTTACGCGAGAATTGGATTAGAGTAGCAACCGAATCGCCGATTACCGAATCACACTATTAAACGTCCTATCCAACTTATATCCCTTTTATCCCTTTAAAGTCCTTTATCACTTAAAGCCCTTAAATCTCATATACCTCTTTAACTCCCGTTTTCTCTTAACACTCTTATTGATCCTATAACCCTTAACAGATCAAAAAGACTTATAAGACTGATAATACCGGGAAGCCCATATTAGGCAGATGATCGACATAGCCGTTGGTTGTTACTGTGTCACATTGACACCTTCTTCTACGTGCTTCCGGGGTCACGTTTCATGACTCACATTCCTCCCCAACTCAAGGTTGAGTTCCACGAGACAAAGTTAAACGACAGGGAAGGAATTGGCATGACTTTGAGTGGCCCAAATAATCTGTCCACCAGGATCAAAGACACAGGTACATGGTTCATATGTTGGTAAGTATCGAAGGGCCTCATTTTCATCAATGTATATGCGCTTGATTTGATATGACATCATTCCTTCAAAATGTTTCAGGTACCATTTAGATATTTGATTACTCAATTTTCTCATTACGAAATGGCTTCCATTTTGACAACAAAAGCCAAGATTTTGTCCTCTTTTATCAGGCAGTGGAAATTCTCTAGAGTCGAATCGGTATGGTTCTTTTGTCACTTGGGAGTTTTCTTGAGTTAACTTTTTGAATTCATTAACCCTTCTGTTCCAATCTTCGCAGGCTTTGTCCAGGTTTTCCAATGGGATTTGGCGACGAATTCTGGCAGCAGATACTTTAGTTCCAATGACTTTCTTGGCTATCGTTCCATAATAGTAGCCAACTTTGAATATTCCATTACTATTTTTCGTGGCACCTGCTTTTCGATACCAAGTAAGTGCTTGACGTTCATCCTTATTAACATCAATTCTGTTGTAATAACAATGCCCAACTTTATATACTCTATTAGTATACCCCATATTCACAGATTTTTTATAATATTCAAACACCTTATGTTCATCCTTTTGGACTCCAAGCCTATTTTGGTAACAATATCCAAGATTATATACACCATTAGCATTACCCATAGCAGCTGCTTTTTTACAATAAACGAAGGCTTTCTGTTCATCTGTTTCGACACTAATTCCATAGTGTTTTCCAACATTATATGTTCCATTAACATCCTTCATCTCAGCAGATTTATCATAATAAATGAATGCCTTGTATTTATCCTTTTTGACACCAATCCCATTTTGATAGCAATGCCCAACGTTATGCGTGCCAACCGGAGAGCCTAAATCGCATGATTCCAAATAGCTGACAAAGGGATCATATTCATCTTTTTCAGCTTCACTTCCCGAGGGCTCTTTCTTTAGTTCAGTTGGGTCATTGGTTTTCTTTTCAACTTCAATTCTATGTTCGTAATGATAATCGTCATCAAAGGTAACCTCCTCATTTTTCATATCGGCAGCTCTTTGAAAATATTCAAATGTTTTTCGTTCATCTTTATCAATTCTAATTCGTTTGTTCTTTTCGACTCCAATATGTTTAGCTTTTTTAATTCTAATTCCTTGGTTTTTATCCTTTTCGATCTCCACTCCATCAATGTTCTCGATTTCTGCAGATTTTTGATCGTTTTCGAAGGCTTTAGGTTTATCTTCTTTGATACTGATTCTCTTTCGATAGCAATTTCCAACTTCTCTTATTGCATCGTCATTCTCTATTTCTGTAGATTTTGATTCTTTAGATATATCTGGCATAGGCATCCAGGGCTTAAGAGTTTCCAGGTAATCATTGATCCAATTTTCTAACTCATCTTCTAAGCAATCTTTGTCTTTCACTTGTTTACTAATCTCTTGTTCCGTTCTTTTAACTTCAATTTCATTTTCATAGTGATATCTAACATTAAAGCTTTCTTTAAGATGATCCATGTTAGCAGCTTTTTGAGAATATTCAACCACTTTACATTCGTCTTTTTCAACTTTAATTCATTTGGTCTTTTTAACTTCAATTCCATTTTCATAATGACGTCCTGGATCCTCAACTTCAAGATACAAGTTAATTATTTCATCAACCAGGTTCTTTTGATGACAGGACAGTGTTGGAGAAACTTTCGGACCTAGGCCTACTGAAGTCACAGGATCTTTAATCTTATTCGCCAAGATGCCATCTTCTTCTTTTCTTTTAGGAACAATAGTGGGCATTCTAATACCTGGTAAGTCAACGCTTAGATAGGCTATTTCTTCGACTTTAGAACTTTTCTGAAGAGAAACATCTTCCAATATCTCCACTATAAATTCCAAGGCCTGTGGAATTTGTCTTTTATTAAGGTTTCGATTTCCAAAGGTTTCATTGACAATTCTTTGGACTACTTGGGCTTGTCTATCTGTAAGTGTTTTAAACAACATTGTACATCTCTCTTCTAATATACTAACTTCCAGGCATTTATTAACAGCATGTCTTTTTGTTCTACAATAGGGACACCAGGCTTCTTTTTGGAGGCTTTTTTGGGTTCGTTCATAGCTTGGAACTTGCTGGAGACGGGTCTTTTTCATTTGGATTTCATTCTTTCTTGGTCTAAATGGTGTCAGGTAAGTCTTATACATTTAGTTCTTCTTTACTTTGTTTTATTTTACTAAATTGTCTTTTCTTATTTATTGGCACATTATATGCTATCGGAGTACTAAGTCTTATTCCACAGTCCAGCTGTTCTTGGATGTCAAATTTCACAGTCATCACCAAAATGACACCAGAGAACCAGTCTTGGCATGTCGGTCACTTCTCAAATGGATATGTCATGTAACCTACGAACGGTTTAGTCGATAAGAGGCGTTTAGATTTGGCGAGTGGTGTATTTATGATTGTAGGTTTTATAATGAGCGAAGGCAAGTAATTATTTAGGAACAGGTCTTATGATAAACACTAACTCTCCTACTCTTGTAGGGCGTGAGGCCTTTATTATATATTAGTTATTACATATGCACTCTTTAAGGTACTAAATGTATTAAACATATTAAAGCTATTAAACATCCTATCCAACTTATATCCCTTTTATCTCTTTAATGTCCTTTATCACTTAAAGCCCTTAAATCTCATATACTCCTTTAACTCACGTTTTCTCTTAACACTCTTATTGATCCTATAACCCTTAACAGATTGAAAAGACTTATAAGACCGATAATACTGGGAAGCCCATATTAGGCAGATGATCGACATAGCCATTGGTTGTTACTGCATCACATCGACGCCTTCTTCCATGTGCTTCTGGGGTCACGTTTCATGGCTCATACCAGATATATTTATTTCTAGACTAATAAAATATCCAGATATCGATATGTTTTATATCCGGATTAATAAATACATCTGTGAAGGAGGTGATTGATGTGACGCAGTAAATAACTAGCGGTTATATTGATCACTTGCCTGAAATGGGTTTCCTGTTATTAAAAATCATAAAAGTCCTAAACGTCGTATCGGGTCATATCGGGTGTTTAAGGGATATCAGTGCAATTAGGAGAATCAGTTGATCAAGGGTATAATTAGCATAATTAGTATAAGTAGCTGTGCAACTACATTGCACAAAACCAGGAATGGAAGATGGATTTTCAGATAGAGTTGCAGATATAACTTTTTTTGTTATAAATTCTTTGTTTGTTCCTATCGCTATATTTAATATTATCAATTTTATTAATTTTATTAGCATTTATAATTCTAACCAGTTGCCGAGATAATTAACCAATCAAATTAAATAGCTTTAACAAAGTTCATAGATTTTTTTTTGTTGGCAATTCCAGAATTTAGAGCTTACATATAGTTAATCTGACTAGTACTGGCAATTGGTTTACATCAGCCAATCAGACGAATGTCAGCCTATGACCATTGGAGTTAAACTCAGCATGATTGATGGAAGATCTTCTTACAATGGTGACAGTATAAAAAACAGAGAATCAAGCTCAATAACAGTAAGCAGGTTAGTAAAATAACAAATGGTTTAATTCTTAAATTTATGCTTTGAAAATAGATACCTTTGAATTATTGAACTAGGACAGCTAAAAGAATGAATTTAGTTAGGCGAAATTTTATAACCGGTATAACCACAAGCCTGATTTAGTGGAATTTCCTTATGTTAAGAAATTCCCGAGCTGCCAACCAAAAAGATATGGGTCGTAGTATATCAAAAATTCTTTATATATCTAATATTAACAATTGCGTCCTCTAGGTAAAATTTCATTCTAAAAACTTTTACTTAGAAGTCGAAAGTTAGTCATTATAGTAAATGTTTGTGTTATTTACGTTTTTTTACAATTTCTTATGTTTTCGCGTTTGTTCTGTTACACGAAATCCTGTGATTTTATCAGATCTGGATAGAGTCGAAAGTGATCTTCAGTCCGGGATTTTCTTGACATAAGAGAATCCGATTTAGTGAAGCAGAAAATTTATATGATATAAATGTTTTCAAAAATCATAAACAAATACAGGTAAAAACAAAAATAATTTCATGTATGTATTATGAGGTTAAAAGCCACGATAACATTATAATAATCTAGAATAATCCCTTGATTACAAACATCTAATGTTATCATTTGTCAATAGACAAAAAGCCTCATAGAGTATAAATATAGATGAAGTCACAAGATTATATCAACAAATCGGATGAAAAAGAGACACTCCACTTAATTTGCTCATAAACCATACTCTTCATAATTCATACACCATTCCTGGTATATTATTATTTAGATAATATTTTAATATTTGCATAAATTAATGATATAATGAATATGTAATCTCTTTAGTACTATAATTCGATCGTACTATAGTTCAGACCTAATTAGCCGGAAGATCATGTGGACCCAAACGGTACGTACACAGTTTAAAGGGGCAAAGCCCTATGCAGCATACAAATATAGAAATTCCTAATCATGACAATAATCATCCAATCAGATACAGAAGAGATACCACTTAACTCTTTCGTAAACCATACTTTTCGTAGCTGTGCAATGTTGTCACGCAAAACCAGGAATAGAAGATGGATTTTCAGATAGAGTTGCAGATGAAAATTTTTTCGTCATAAGTTCTTTGTTTGCTCCTATCGCTATATTTAATTTTATCAATATTATTAATTTTATTAGCATTTTTAATTCTAACCAATTTACCCGAGATAATTAACCAATCAAATTACATAGTTTTTAAAATGTTTATTATTTTAATACTGCTAAAAGAAAAAAGAAAACTTCGCTAAAAGAAGATTACAAACCAATAATCACATACAAAGAATTTATCATATAAAGTTAGAAAAACTGATAAATATGCGTAAAGTGGTATAAATGTAATCTTAATTATAAAAACCTGAATTCATTAAAGAGTTAATAAGTGAATAAATTATTAGCTAAACTATTTTTATTTATTACTTATGTCCTGAAAAAATTAATCTTTTATTATCATGTTCGTTATTAGAGATACAACATGACTTTTAACCTATATAATTAATGAAACAATAATACTTATATATAACTCTATAATATTAAGAATACATAAAATAAGAACATTAGTATACACTTGTTGTTATAATAACATGCTAAATGGTATTAAGAAAGTTTATTGATTTAGATCTTATGCATAAACGTCTTAAACTTCTTTTTTTTGTAATTCCAGAATTTAGAGCTTACATATAGTTAATATGACTAGTACTACAATAAATATTCATTTCTAAGTAAAGTTCTTAAGGTTACTAATTATTTTTGATTATGTTTGCATAATGAATATAGATATTCTTTCGAAGTTAGAAATGGCTTTTACAATGTTTTTTAACAAGTACTTTAAACTGTATAAATAAATTACTCAGCCAATTGGTTTACATCAGCCAATCGGACGAATGTCTGGCTATGACCATTGGAGTATGATTGATGGAAGATCTTCTTATGATAGTGACACTATAAAAAAAACAGAGAATCAAGCTCAATAACAGTAAGCAGGTTAGTAAAACAATAAATGGTTTAATTCTTAAGTGTACACTTTGAAAATAGATATCTTTGAATTATTGAACTAGGACAGTTAAAATGAGCGAATTTAGTTAGGTGAAATTTTATAAACGATATAAATGTCGCATCTGAAGTAGTGATTTATCTAAAGTAGCCACTTTATATATCTAAAGTAGCACCCTGACTAAAATTAAAATCTAATGCATGCATGAAGATCTAATTT